GTGTGTGTGTGTGTGTGTGGTGTTTTGTGTGTGTGTGTGTGTGTGTGTGTGTGTGTAGGTGCAACCCAGCCGGTCCCAAACGGACGGCAGCAAATAAAGATGAAATATAAAACTGTAGTCAAATCAGGTAAGCTCCAGTTAAATGCTGTTATGTTCAATCTTTAATAAATTAATTAAATGATTCTCTATCTACATTGAGCACATGAAAGTAACGTGTTCCACATAAAAAATTTAATGCATTACCTTCTCTCTACCAATAAATAAAATGTACACACAAAAATAGCATGTGTCTAATTAATTTCTGACCTTCATTACAGCAAATGTGTAAAAGGCAGATGCCACAAAGACAGGTGGGGGTCCTCCACCACCACCACTATCAGAAGCCAAAGAGCTGGCCCTGAGTCACAATAATGGGCGAAAACCGGTGAAAACCGGTAGCGCTCAAACAAATAATTGTCTGGAAATGAGAACACATCTAATCTCGGTCTGATTGCTCTCTCCTGACGTAGATTTCTGCGGAGTATTAAATCTCCTATGTCCAAAGGCTCCTTGAGAAAAGGACACGCCATGTCTGACACTTCCTCATGACAGCTGTCACCTAAATAGTCAGACTAACTCTGGATATGTTCAAGTAACCCTGCTACGGAGCAGGGTTGGTTCACGGAGTAAGTTTCGGGGGTAACTTAACTCAGGGTAACTGCTATCTGGCTTTCTGAAACCAAAAACACGGGGTATGCACCTAGTTACCCCAAAACTTACTCAGTGTATGCACTTACCCTGCTTTCTGAAACGGGGCTCTGGCATCCTCAGGTGCTGCCAAAGGTGCTCCGTATAAGATTTATTGCCATTACAACAAAGAAATAATCTACCAAACACAAATTTCCTTACTTTTACTGCATTTGTTTGGCTGCACAGGTAAACTTGTTCATTTATGTGGTCTAAACAGTTGTTCGCTGCTGTTTTTCCTGAAGTGTTTGACTTCTTTCTTGTTTTTTTTAGTGTGAACTCTATAAATCAATCGAACTAATGTGATTATTCAACATCTTGGTTATCTCAATGATATTAATGCACCTGATGTTTAGTAATCCTCACAGATATTGTATTGTTAGCAAACTATTACTTTTTGCCACAGTTACAGTAGTTATTTTACCCAATTAGAAGAAACTGTGCCATTGTCATGGACATGATGCTTTAAAAATAAAACTATGGATCATTTATCTTTTATCCCAACAGCTCTGACCATGCTGGGCATAAAGGATTTTAACGAATGTCCAGAAGGAGTCAATGAAGACAGAATATCTCACGAGACATTCAGAAGAGAGGCGTAAGAGTATCCTGTAAAGTTTAATCAGTACAGGCACATTAATCACTTCTTTAAGACAACGTTGGTTTCATTTTGCTTTTTTAGGAAGGATGGTCTGCAGAGAAGCTCAGCAACATTCGCTCAACTGTGACCATTTTCTTTGAACCTGAAATTGCTAGAACATGTTTTGGTGTTTTGTAAGCCTTTCTTTCTCATACTATGTATTTTCTCTCTCTCTGCTGTAAATAATTCATTCTCCATACACTGAAAAATTTTCTCATTATTAAACTTGTCTTGTTATTAAATTATGTATTTGATCATTTGTTGGTAATTTTAATTTTGAGCTGATTACAGTTTGCATTTTAAAACAATGTTCGATTGCATAATTATGACGGATCTTAAATGTCCTTATCTTTCAGAAAAATATAGAAAAGTAAGTTTTTCAAAACTTTATTATCAACAACAGGAAAGGGTTAGTGAAATATAAGAGGATGCAAAGGTAGCTAGGAGCTAAAACTCAAAGCAGCCTAAGAAAACAATAACAGAGCAAATATGTGGAAGTATGGAAGCCCATTTCTGCCACCCTGATAAAAAAATAAAACTTGTATCTCATAATTATGACTTAGCTATCTCATTATTATGACATAGCTAAGACATAATTATGAGATAGTATCTCATTATTATGAGATACTATCTTATAGCATAATTATGAGATACTATCTCATTATTATGAGATACTATCTCATAATTATGACTTAGCTATCTCATTTTTATGAGATACTATGTCATTATTATGACTTAGCTATCTCATTATTATGAGATACTATCTCATAAT